GAGTCAGCCTGGTCTGTAATCTGACATCTTTTATGGCTGAGAAGAACAAAAGAACAATTTTTTGTGAAAGAGTAAGATAGCTCACACAGTCAGTACTTAGGTACAGCTATTTTAAAACACCCCCAGGTACTCAGTATTTCCTTAACTGCCTGGTCACAAAGTATGGTCAGTGAACCCTAGATACCGAGGTCTAAGTCTTAAGAGCAGATCTGATAGATCTCGGTCTTAGTCTGTGTATCCTGACCTCTACTTGAGAGAATGCTCTAGAGATACCAGAGCAGTCCATTTCATTATGCAAAGTGATACCTAAGGCCTTATTTGCAATAACTTCCCAGGAATTTTAACAAGTACTTTAAAATATTTATTAAAGTGACAAATGACCTCTGACACTTGGATAGTCTTTGTTTTGGAGAGATGAACCATTATTAGATGTATAACTGTATGTGTATGGTGAGAACTGTCTTCTTTCCCTTTTTCCAGTAAAAAAAAATAAAAAGACTACTGGTTGATTGGTTTCTTCAATGAAACATGCCAAGCCAGAAGAGATGTTGCTATACTGGATTGAGCACATCCACTCTGAAGTGTCCGGTCAGTTTAGTCTGACTGCTGTAAAACCACATCTCACATTCTTCTGGAATAACCTTCCTGTATGCGCCAGGAATCTTCACAGTTATCTTGTGATATTAAAACAGATCGCAAACCCCTATTAAAGCATAGAATATCAACTTTAAAGAGTAACCTTAAAGATACTTTTTAGACTGAATATGGTAATTGCTTCATTTTCTGTCTCGCTACCGTTCCTTATTTTGCAGGCACAATGGGGAAATCTCTTCTGGTTTGGAGCTATTGCCCTGTTCACATGAGTAGCAAAATGCTGAGCTGCATTTCAGAAATGATCAACGCTTCCGGAACTGCTCTGCTCAAGGAGCCAGGCAACAATGCCCTGTGAAGCTGCCTCCTCCTGACATTTCCAGTACTGGTTACAGGTGGGCAGAAAGGAGCAATGTTGTGACTTCGAGGCTTTCATTTGTAGTTAAGAGAGGTAACACAGACGTTAAAAAAGAGAAAATTAAGAGGCAGCATGAAACATTAAAGAAAGCTCCAGCCTTAGCTTCAGGAGAGCTCAAATTTGCTGTGGGCTCAGCTATTACTGGCCTTCACCCATGGCTGAAGACAGCTGCCTTCTATGTCTTTTGACTATTTAGATCTACACTCTGTGATCCTGATGTGTTTCTCATTATACCTTGACTTTAGCGCAGCAAGGCAATAATCTTGGATTAATGATACAACACTATAAATAAATAATAATTAAATATTGACTCTAATTAATGAATTTAAATTAACTAATTTGGGCTCGAAAGTCCATTCCAATATTAGAGAAATGAGCAAATATTCAAACTGGTGATTTTCAAAGCTGTCTTAAGTATAAGTTCAAGGTCTAACACCAAGGAAAACACTGTATATTAAAATGTCTTACAACACATTAGATAACAGATGTTGCACACGGTCATTTATGTAAAGAAAATTTATTCAAAAAATAAGTAATGTTTTAATAAGTAATATATGTTATTCCAAAAAGTAAGTAATAATCAGGCTGTTGGAATATATTGGATGTTTGTGCAACACTTCTTACATCATGACTGTGCATTTGTTCCTGTGATTACAGGAAATTATTGAAATATGTTAGATCAATATAAAATGTTTAAAGAAAGATCAAGGAAATTCAAACCAGCACCATTCTTAAAAAAAAGAACCCTGGAAAACCATGTATCCTCACAGAAGATTAAGCATCTAAAAGTATAGTATATAAACCCGATATAAGTTCTTGGCATAACTTTAGAGATTTGAATTTACCTAATTCAAGCTAGACCATACTTTAAATATTTTTTCATTGTGTTCTAGCATCCAAAAATTAATTCAATGTGTGCACATCTGCAAGACTATTTAACAAGAAGCAGCAGAGAAATAATTCAGATGACAGTGTGTTTTACTGGTTATTGTGTGCACAACATAACTGTGTGCAAAATGAACAAGCATTTCTGCCTTTGGGAAAACAGAGGTCCAGATTTCTAGTCTCTGAAATTAAATCTACATACACAATAATCTGGCCTTTTTTGGCTTTGCTTCATAAGCAGAAGATCATCCAGTTCCAACTCCCCTGCCATAGGCAGGGGTGCATCAAACTAGACAGTGTTGCCAGCCTGGCCTTGAACACTGCCAGGGATGGGGCAGCCACAGCTTCTCTGGGCACCCTGTGCCAGCGCTTCACCATCCTCACAGTTAAGAACTTCTTCCTTATATCTAACCTGATATATAAAGAATATGCAAGATGAAAGTAATGTCTTCATGATAAAATTCTCATTCCTCTGGCAATAAATAGAAGATACTTGGTGTTTGAACAGTATTATGCTGTGCGCTCAAGATAAACATCTGGAAGCAGGTGAGGAGAAATACTTCAAAATAACATGAAGAACATCTGGGAAAGCATTCCTGAAAGATGTTACTTATAAATATTATAGTACAATACTCCCCAGAAGCATGTTCAGCTTTTATGTAAGAAATTACATCTGTGAATAGCTTTTTCTGTCTTTTTAAATTATTATTAATAATTTCTGTTTGCTGGATTCCATAGGCATACCACACATTTGACAGTATTAGGGTTAACTTTTTGTCTTTGGTCCTTATGCAACAGGTTTTCCATTTACAAGGTTAAATTTCCCTCTGTACAAAAGAGCAGGAATATAAAAATCTCTGGAAACATTATGATTGCACTGAACTCTGACAGCTGTTCTTGCTAACTTTGCTGCTTACCAGTGCTGAGGCTTTCTACTGAGCAGAGAATTAACATTTGCTGTCACAAGCTGATTCCAGAAGTGACAGTAAGTTGCAAACTGAAAAATGTTGGCACGATTTCTCTGTATCCCTTGCACTGAAGACAGTTTATGGAATTCACTATGTGCAAAGGAGGCAGTGTTCAGTAATTAATGGCATATTTAAAGTCTGTGGCCCACATTTGCATTTGTTTCTAGAGAAGATGACAGCATCTAGGTAAAAACTAAGCAGAATTTCACACAGAATTCTTCTGTCTCAGTTACCGCTAAGCTTGCTGTAACCAACTGAGGAATGTATTTGCCCCACTGGATTACTGAATTCCTAGAAATTAAGGTTTTCTGACTTTTGTGCTATCCTATTTATTTTTTTTCCCTTTAATCAATTTTCAATTCAGAAAAAGAATATAAAAAAGATTAGAACTTCAACTTCCAGAGGTTGGCATAAGGTGGAGAAGTGGGTAGCTCATCCTCTGCCACTTTCACTTCCTATTTTGAAATCTGCTGGTGGTGAATGAATACTATTAGTTCCCTGTGAAATTGTCAGGTTTTCAGCAGCCAATAAAGCCTTCACTTCTTTCCATCTGAATAACTGATACAGAATGAGAAGTGAAGAAGTGACTTAAGTGATCAATGCCTAGAAGTAGAGCCAAATTTGAACACTGACATGTTTGTCTTATTGTGTTTGGCTCATTGACGCAACATGATTGGATCTCTAGGTAACATTAATAACTGATGAGAGCCATCTGTTCTGCCTATAGGAAAAGGATCAGTAGTTTTGAGCCTAGCTATAACTGCTCAAAATAGCTACACAAAGCTTCTATTAAAGAAATGAGGCAGTTGTAACCCAAAAGGCTTCATGACTGTCAGAAATGCACAGGTATCTTATACCAGTTATTCAGCCAACTTGGACCACACTGGAAGCAACATCAGTGAAAAACCTGACAAAGACTAAATCACATCTCCTCTGCCAGTGCAGCATTTCTCTTTGCTGCAGTTATTTTAAGAATATGGAGAAACATCCTAATCATTCCCATGGAAAAAGAGGGAAGTCCAGCTTCATCTGTTTGCTCTCAGAAGACATGGCAAAGCTGTCATTTCAAATCGTATTTTAGCTAAGTGTGTGGGAGTATGTGTGAGACAGGGGAAAGATAAGAGAACTCATACTTAGGTAAGACAAAGACAAGCTTTTCTTATGCAAAACCTATTCTTTTGTTGTTCCTACTAGTTCTGCCTCCTTCCTTCTGAAGTTTCCACTTCCTTTCACTTGTTAACACTTCTTACATCCTCAGGTAATGCACTCTGGCAAAATGCTATGCTAACCGAGATCTAAACTTTAGGACACACAGAACACACCAGTAATTTCATACAGGAAAAACATATTCAACAGGCATCCTTCAACAATAAGTAGCATTAAGTAACAGCTTCAGAAACCTTCCTGGTAGAAGGAAATAAAAACCTAACCCTAACTGACAATTCATTCCTCATAACATGTCAAGATTGATTGCTGTAGCCTATGAAATCACATTCACAGTGATATTATTTAAAGGCTCTGTGTAATTAATTCATCGACCACCCTGTCACGCATTGTGCATGTGATGTTATATTTTGGACACACTGAAAAGTATTAGACATAAAAATTACATTGCATTATGCAGCCCAAATGTAAAAAAGTGCATTGCTTGGGACTACATGATCCAGTGAGAAAATATAAATGGGGAATTACTGGATTTTAGTTTTTGCAAAGTTTTTAATTTTATTGCAGAGTTATTTGTCTTCATGATTACTTTCTGAATCCTTTTGTGTTTATTGGTCGCTACAGCAGATGAAGCAACTCTTACCTATGCTTTAAGATGAGGATTACGAAGGCTGAAGTAGTCACTGCATACCAAAAAAGGAGATTAACATGTGGTCCAAGCTGGTGTTTATTCTCCTAGTTCCTGAAATTGATTTTTTCACGTGGATGTATATATATGCTTATACATACGCACACGCACACTCTCACACACATAAATATCCATTCAGCCTGACAAAATGGTTCCAGAATTACACTGAACATCAATAGTGATATATTATTTTAAGAGATAAAGATGTGAGAAATACCTGATTTTAAACAAAAGAAAGGATAAGAAAAACATTATACACACATATAGATGCCCCGGCCCCCATAGATTTCTTACACATAGAGAGAGCTTCTAGTTCTGTAAAACACAGAGCAGGCTTTCAGTTTCTATCATTGTAACAGAAGCCTGTCTTAGGAGTTCAGTCAAGGTGCTTCCCATGTACAGTTCAGTCTATCCAGCTAATTTCATATTCATGTCTATAATTAGAGCACTGATCATCAAAAATTTCAAGAATGGGCTTTTATTTGCATTCTGAATGTGACCACTGAGTCATGACTCTACTTGTAAATCAGTCCTGCCATGGCACTACACGACCAGGTGTAGTAGATTTTAACTTTGGCCTGTGCCAACTTTAGTGCTGGATCATTTAAACTTCCGAAATGTCTTTTCATAAGACTGACAAATTACACACAACAAGCTTGAGGAGCGCAAGTCATGAGAGAAACACACACAAAGTTTGCAGTAAGAAAACAATGAGGCATCAGCAGACTGCAGTATGCTCCCATAAAACATCTTTGCATCACTAATTCCTTATTTCTCTTTTATAAAGGTTCCCAGCATGTGATCCATCCCTCTGGAAGAAGCCAGAAAAGAAAAGGACATTCACATTTAAATATCATAATCTCCAACTGGATTTCACTATTGCTATGTGTAAAGGGAATTAGAGACTTACTAAGGAGGCTTCAGCACGATATAAATCTCCAAAGTCTTGCCCTTTGCTCCAGCTACTTCCCTGGTTGAAGCTGAGCAGACTATAACTAATGCTGGTTTAAAAGCATCTTCAACAAATATGAGAAAATGAATTAAAAACAGGACACAGATTCCCTTGTGGTGTAGACAGATGAGCTCTTTGCATTATTTCTTATTCTTTCTAGTCTGAAAGGATTACAATAATGCTAATTTTTGTGAATCCTCATCATGGCAAGGTGAGAAGGAAGCCTATACCACAGTGGTTTATGTGGCTATAACAAAACTTTCTGCAGCTCATAAAAACAACCTAAAGATCCCATGAACAGCACAGTTGTTCATATACAGGAAACCAGCAGAAGTCCTAAAATACATAGGGAACCAGATTTACCAGGAAGTGGTAAATATCCTGGGCAACACAGGATCTGGTAAGCACATAAAACATGAATAAAATGAAACAAGAAATCATAGCTCTATGTTTTAAACAAGATACTTGCAAAACTGTGCATGCTTACAGTTTCACAAATCAGAAACTTCCAGCTGGCAACTTTACTCTGTATTAACCTTTGCTCAATATATTGCTCTTAACTGTGGCAATATGACAATAATGTTAATTAAGTGATCATGTAATTTATCTCACAGAGGTATTTCTATGGATCTACATACTAGCATGGAAGTGAAATTGCATTCCTGATAGGGATGGCTTGGAAATAAATCTAAAAGCGGTATTAAATCCTTACAGAGGAATATCTCTGTTTTAGGGAGAAGAAATCTGAGATGCTCAGAAATATGAAGTTTGGGTTTGTTTTTTTTTCCAGTAAAAAGGTCCAATATGCTGACTCAGAGTGGTTAATGAACAACTAAACAGATTCAGCTTGTAATTAGGGAATACATATTTGGTGTGAGAGGGTATTTTGAAGGTAAAGTGTAGAGGAGAGAACTTTTGATTTGAAGAAGGTAATATCATGTACTGCTTAGTAAAAAAAAAAAAAAATAGAAGGTTTTTCTAGCTTTTCTCTTTCCTCTCATTTTCTTGTGCATGTCAAGTTGTGTGCAAGCCTACATGTATCAGCTATAATAAAATCCAGCTCTCAGAAATAGTATCAAGCTATTTAAGCATGCCTAGAAAGAAGATACAGGAATGACAAATACTGCTTTTAACGAGGTAACATATTCATATTGGCCATTAATTGGTGCAAGTAATTCTATTTTTATTAAAAAAGACATACTTACATCTGCATTTCCATTGTCTCAAATTCAAGTGGCATATAAAAAGACAGAGAAATGCCTGTGTTTGGTTAAGATACATAGTTTGCTCAGCTCTTTAACCAAGTATTAAACCAGAATTTCTTACAGTTCATTGCCATACTCCTTTTTGCTCAAAAACTCATCTCAAAAGTTTTACTCCCCATATATCTTCTGGAAAAAATGCATTAGTTTAATAAAAGGAAACTACTTGAACCTTTTGTAAAGTTAAACCCATTTTCCAAAGGTTAATATTTAACATGGAATGAGTACTGAACAAACTAAGATTTTACCCCAGCCACTGATAGCCATGTGTTTAAAATCCACCTTTTCTGCATGAAGGGATGATTCTGAGTGACTGGACCCCAGGTATTCACTAGTTATTTAAGTAAATTCTTCCATCTATCTTTACTGAGCAAAGAACTGAAACACACACATGAGGTCATTTTAATAGCAGACTGTTCGCAGTGGTGAATTGCTGAATTGGAGGTTTTCCCACTCATCCCAAACGATACCTTTATGCTCATGCTGATACAATTTTTATTTGAACTGAAAGAAAATACATCTCCAGGACAACTTAACTATTTATTTTGTTACAGCAAACTACGCTTCAGTGTCCACAGGAAACAAAAGCTGGACCCTACATGGAATTTCCAATACTGTAAATATTCATTGCTATGTAAGATTAATTTCTTTTCTTTGCCCATGCACACAGAGCCTTTCAAAGTACATTCAAGCACCATGTAGCTAAAAAAATTAATTTCTCCTTACCTTTCCTCTTTAGACTTGGATTTATTCCGCACCCACCCCCCAAAAATGACAATTTTAATTGGACTATCTCAGCATGGATTTTTTTCTCTATTGCTGCGGCCATGCAAGTGTTTGCCTTGTGAAAAATTGTCCTACATTAATCCAACCTGAGTTTGTGCTGACTTCTTTTGTATCATGAGCTAGATTGGCATCTTAACCTGAAGAGACATGTCCTCTAAATGTGTTCTTGCTGTTGATTGTATTAAACACTACCCTGTACCAAGAACTGAGTAACATGCTCTCAAATCCCATCGAGCTCAGCCAGCCACCCTCATAAACTTTGACAGCTTTATGAAAGAGCCTTAACTTTTCATTATCTATCTACATCATCTGTCTTCATAAACAGGAAACTTTATCTGTAATTCCTGTATTGTACAAAATGTTTCTGGGTCCATACCAACTTGTAACATTATTTTAAAGTAAGCAGTATTTGGAAAACACAACTAAAATCCATGTTAAAAAATGCCTCTTTGCAGCATTAGAGAGTTTCTGAAGTTTGTGATTGCCTGTAACTGAAGGATCAAGAAATTGGGCTGTAATCTGTATTCCTGGAGTTCACAGCCCTGTCTGTGCCTGTGTACCTGATTTAGCAGCTGACCAGTAAAACAGTTTCCTTTGTCTAGAACTGTACTTTCCCATTTCTGAAAGCACATGCTAGCAAAAAGCCCTAATTAAAGCTTCAGGAAAACTACCTGCACATCTCACACTAGACAGCCTGTGACTCACGTTTGAGATGTTATGATTTTGTGCAATGAAAAGCAATGGTTGCTCTAATTATGCTCTAATTGGTTCATTATTGACTGCAAAGGAAAGTGCATATGTCTGTGCATGTGCTCCTCTGACAGGTATAGGAAACACAAAAAGAAGAATAGAAGCACAATATTTTCAGATATTCCCAGACATACTAACCAATATATCATTCCAATAAATTTCAGTTTTGAGATGAATATAAAAGCTGAACACATTCTATAGAACAGCTCCAGACAAACTGTCAGAAATAAAAGGATCTTGAATTCATAGTGCTTAATATACGATCACATCTCCAAGTACAGTAACTCAGAAGTGGGAGGGTACTAAGGGAATGTTAAATGTAGAGCATTATATATTACTATAATTTCTTTCTTTCCCCAAGAAAAGAAATATTTTTCCTCACACAGCCTTAATTTAGCTGGCCTGTCAAGGCCTGCTTTCTGCAGTGTCACGATGAAAGACACTGATGGGGGCCAGCAAAGGCAGTTTCAACTATTACTGTATAAATGCTAATGAATCTCCTCCAATAAAAGACCCCAGCAAGCTCCCTCGTCTAGACCCTCCTTTATAACATCCATAAATTATCTGTTTGCTTGTGCTGAATCTCAGAACATTTTGGGATCCGCTGAAGCCACTGTAAGGACTGACACTGATTGAACATGGTGCTGTAGCAGTCCTTAATGACCAGATCCTGCTATGAATCCATGCTTGTAAACTGGATCTGCATTAAGCTCCATGGACTCCATATGAGCTCAGCAGTTTGTTTGTGCAGAGCCCAGGTAATGATAGTGGATCTATGGTGAAATGGAGGTGTGAGTTCAGCTTGGACTGTGCATACCCACCCTAGCTAACACACTTAAAAGTCACCCCTAGGCCAAGGGCGGGAGCCAGATGTTGGGAGGCAACAAAATTCCCTTGACGCTGCTACGTGTTTATCTGTGTCAGAGCACCAAGAAGCAAGGCAAACCCAAACAGCTTTAGGCATAATCCATTTGGGTCTGTGCTGTGGTGGCAACCACTGTCACTGTGCGGGGACTAAGCATCATCAGTGAATGCCACCAACAGTCTTTCCATTTCCACAGAAACCAATAATCTAGCTCTCCATGGTCTCTGTCTCACTTTCCATGTTACTCCTACTGGGTGAAAGTCCATGTCTCAACCTGCCACATGATAGGCATGCTAGGGCCTTAGCTCCTCTGGGGTTCTTAATCCAATTTTGCCTATGCTGCTGAGAAAACCTGAGCCTGCTTGGTGCAGTTTGCAGTTCTAATACACTGAAAACTCTGCCTTTGTCTTCAGTTGTCATTACACAAATGTATTATCAGATTATGCTACAATCACACCTTTCTTTTTCAGAGGAGACACATCTCGATGTTTTTTCCTGTCATATTGCAGGAGACATTTTGACCATCCTAATTAAGCAGCTCCCTTATAGTAGTCACACATTGCCACAGTGCAAAGCAGTTTTAAGCTCTTCTACAAATAAAACAGTTTATCATAATTAACTGCACAATGGGATAGAGCTCCCTAAAGACAGCTATAAATATTGCTTCCCTGCTACTGACAGGCTGGCAATGAGGATTTGCCACTAGGCAAATGAAGCATCTATTTTTTACTACCTCAAGTAGAGAAGTGGGCTAACCAGAGTAGTAATTGCAATGATCCTACTCTTCACCTATTGATTCAATTGTGCAGAGAAATATGCAGTGACATCACTTGAGAGTGGTCTCTGCTGAGCGGGATCAGTGGTGATGCAGGAAGGACTGGAATGTTAATAACTTGCAGTAAAAACAGCCTATTTATGCCTCATCAATCACCATCTCCACAGATACCAGAAATGTGCTGAAACAATTTCCATTGAAAGACCAGGTTTAATTAACTATTGCCCTCACTCAACACAGTAAAAAAACGTGCCTGATTCAAACTGCTCTAAATGTGCTTTCTTATGCCTGCAAAGTGGTTCAATTTAGCAGTGCGCACATCTCAGGTGGCTCATGCAGACCGGTGTTTCTCAGCTGAGAGCACCACAAGAAGGAATCAGAAGGGTCAGGAAGCTTTGAAAATTTTACTGTAATCTAAATCAAAGGAAATCATGTTCATCCACTCCCTTTACATCTTTACACTTCAAGGTCAAGGATTTTCTGTAAACTTTTTCAGACGCACGTAGAAAATAAGATGCAGGATTATGCTTGCCACAGAACCACTTTAGGTCTCCCATGGTAAATGTAAAGAGTGCAATGAAAAATGCAATGAGGAAAATGGACAGACCATGGGATCAGGGGTGCTC